GAGGTGAGGCCTCACCAAAGCTGAGTGGAGGGACGTGATCACATTCCTAGTCCTGCTCACTACACTATTCTTGATACAGGCCAGGATGCTGCTGGCCACCTTGGCCACCTGGGCACACTGCTGGCTCATGTTCAGCCAGCTGTCCATCAACACCCCCAGCCCCCCCCCGACCCCCTCCTCCCCAAGCCTGTAGCGCTGCTGGGGGTTGTTGTGGCTGAAGTGCAGGACTTGGCATTTGGCCTTATTGAAAGTCATGAGATTGGCCTTGGCCCAGCAATCCAGCCTGTCTAGATCCCTCTGTAGATCCTCCCTATCCTCAGGAAGATCGACACTTCCACCCAGCTTGGTGTCATCTGCAAACTTACTGAGGGTGCACTCTGTCCCCTCATCCAAATCATTGATGAAAATTTTAAACAGGGCTGGGCCCAGTACTGAGCCCTGAGGGACACCACTCGTGACCTGCCACCGACTGGATTTAACTCCATTGACCACAACTCTTTGGACTTGGCCATCCAACCAGTTTTTCACCCAGCAAAGCATATGCCTATCCAAGCCAAGACAAGGCAACTTCTCTAAGAGAATGCTGTGGGCAACAGCATCTGATGCCTTCCTAAAGTCAAGGTAGATGATATCCACAGCCTTTCCTTAGGCAACCAGCAGGTCAGCCTGTTGTAGAAGGAGATCAGGTTTGTTAAATAGGACCTGCCCTCCATAAACTCATGCTGACTGGGCTTGATCACCTGGTTACCCTGTATGTGTTGCATAATGGAAAACAGAATGATCTGCTCCATCAGCTTTCCTGGAACCGAAGTCAAGCTAACAGGTCTGTAGTTTCCTAGATCATCCTTCCGTCCCTTCTTATAGATGGTGTTATTCTGGCTGACTTCCAGTCAACTGGGACCTCCCCAGTCTGCCAGGACTGTTGATAAATGATGGACAGTAGCTCGGTGAAAACCTCTGCCAGCTCTCTCAGGACTCTAGGATGTACCCCATCTGGCCCCACAGATTTTTGGACATCAATGTGGAGCAGCAGGTCACTGACCATCTCCTCCTGGATTGTGGGGGGGTGACATTTTGCTCCTGACCCTCATCTTTTGGCTTGGGAGCTGGCTTCCCTCAGTAAAAGTGTTTCTTTTACTGAAGACTGAGGCAAAGAAGGCATTAAGCAACTCAGCCTTACCTTCATACTTTGTCATTATACTTCATCCTGGATCTAGCAGGGGATGGAGGCTCTCCTTGGTCTTTCTTTTGCTATTAATGCATCTATAGAAGCTTTTCTTCCTGGCCTTTACTTTCAAAGCCAGATTATTTTCTAGCTGGGATTTGGACCTTCTAATTTTCTCACTGCATAACCTAACATTGCCCTTGTACTCTCACTGTGAGTGGTCTGCCCCTTCTTCCAGAGGCCATGAACTCTCCTTTTTTCCTTGATTTTCAGACAAATGTCCTTATTTAGCCAGGCTGGTCTTTTATGCCATCGGCTCGTCTTAGGGCATGTGGGGATGGTCTGCTGCTGTAACGTTAAGATTTCCTCCTCAAAGAGTGTGCAGCCTTCCTGGACTCCTATACCTTTCAAAACTGACTCCCAAGGAATTCTGTCAAGTAACTTCCCCGTTGCAAATTCCATAGCCAGGCTTCACAACGCGTCTGTGCTCTTCTGCCTTGCTCCTTGAATCTTCCCATCTAAACCACCTACCTCTCCAGTTCACAGTTTTGAATAGCTCTTTCTTATCTCCTCATATTATTTCCATATCCTGCTTTTTTTCCTCTCTAGGACCATGCTATTTCTTCCAAGAGATAATTGAAAAAAATGTTACTGACTCCCACTCCTTCTCATTTGCTTTTCCTTTCTTACCACACAGATGTTTTTTCTGCCTCTTTCAGTGCTATAACTGTGCCCACATTTATCCCAATAACATTCTCTCGTCTGAGCAGCCTTGCACTCATGCTCTCTTTTAATTCCTTTCCATAGCTAATTGTATTCCTCACTTTAAAATATACTTTAGCCTCTCAGATTTCAAAAAGCTTTCCACCTTTTCCTTCTCTGCCTTAATTTCTGTTACTTTTCACCTCAACTCAATGAATGAAACTCCTTTGGGTTGATCTGTGAGATTTACTACTTTGGGCATAGGGACTCATATTGTACCTTTGCCTGGGGACATTATCTGAGTGTATTAGTCTCTTGGTTGTCATCTTATGCTTCGACTTAAAGTTTTTTGTGGCAGAGCCCATCTTTTCATCTTGGGTTTGCGATGAATTGAGCACAATTATGTATCCTTTCTTGGATGGAGCAGTGCAAATAATAATGACAGAATTATTAATTCAGTACTTTAACATTGCCATCCACTGGCTGTCTATTATCATGACACCCCAAAATTGACAACATTTTAAAGTTTTGGTCTTGTTTCATTTGCTGCTACTGAAGTGGAATGTATTATTGTAAGCACACTATTTAAGAGTAATAAAAATGCCAGAAATCTTTATGTTATATTCCTTCCAAATACATGATGCAGGCTTTTTGCTCTCTATTTTGTTTTACAAAGTGAAATATTGATGTCGGTAACTCAAGTACTAAAGAGTCGGGGGATTCTAGGTTACACTGCTATGTACAATTAGTTCACTTACATTACCTGAGTGACGTGTATATTTTGTAATATATTTTGCTCATGCTTAAGAAACATACAAAACTTAAAATTAAGCATGTATATAGATGCAAAAGGGATATAGAATAATTTGAGACTAATTAAAATTTGTGTGATACTTCCCCTCACAACTTTTCCAGCCTCCATCTCATTTAGGAATGTCCTGAACCAGGGTAGTTTCTCTGTTTTAATATTCTTTGGTGGGTTTAATTTCCACATCCATTTTCTCCCTGAACTCACATATAAAGAGCTTTGTGCTATTTATTCTTTATTTTTTTCTTTGCTATTTTATGTTTTTTAACTTTCCCCTTTTTCATTCCTTTTTTTAAAATTAATTTCCTTTATATAATCAAGCTTATTATAACTATGTTTACTGATACATGATTAATATTGCATGACTAAAACAACTTGACTTTCATATTTCCTAATGTGCTCATATCCTAAACACTGGCAGGGATATTTGCATTCTTGGTACAACACCTCTTCTGTGACAGCAGACTGTGCAAAAACTATTCAGACATGAGGCACAATAAATTTTATATGCAGATGTGTTTTAAAAATATTTTGAGAGGAAGAATAGATACAAATTTCCAAGGAAAAAGTGTTCTTAGTGTTTCAGTAATTCAAATCTTTATCCAATTTACTGCCATGTACTGCAATATTACACAGAATTCTAGGAAATGCAGAAGTGGATTATGAGTTCAAGGATGGAGCACTAATTGAATTCTTAATTCAAATGACTCATCTAAGCAATATGGTGACCTGGGTTGTCCCCTTGAATGTAAAAATCTTTCCAAAAAGTATCCTGGCGCAGGTGCCACACTAAAAGCTTGACTCTTGTCTATCTGTGAGAAAGGTTATCTGTCAGGGTTGAATGGGGGTCACTATTTGCAACTGAAATGTGTTTTACCTTACAACAAGGCAATATGGATTGGTCTTTTTCTTGCTCATTCTCTCTCAACCAAAATGAGTCACACTGGGCACAAACCTTTCTAAGTACTTCAGTCTACAGGGCTTAACTGAAGTGTGGACCTCACACAAACCCTCTGTAAGGGCATGAATTGTTCTCATCTTGACACTTACACAGCAAAAGAGCTATAATTAGATGGACTAATCAACATTTCTAAAAATTACATGTAAGCTGAAAATAGGAGTGTTCAATTATAACTGTGATTATTAACTGTGAGTTAAATTTCGGGTGAAATTTCACTCATTATTACAAAAAACTTCTTCCTTTGCTGTGCATACTCTGGTTTTTTTTAAAATGATATTGATTGAATGTTGCCTAATTAAAAAATATCATTTATATTAATGATGGATTTTTAATGCTTTAGATTTCCTCGTTCACAAGGCGATTCTTACAAGCCTTTATTGTAGTGATTTATAATTGAACCACAAACACCAACTTGGCAGTGAAATTTGGAGCAGATAGTGAACCAACAAATCAAAAAAGTTATTCTTAATTTTTGCTACTTAGAAGTGACTAGAAGCTAGGGCATTTAAAATATTTTACAAATATATTGAGATTTGCAGCTCACTACCCATGCAACCTGGGGCCTACATCGGCTTGAAAGGTATGACCTGCTAGCAAAAAATACACACATCACAGAAGAACATACCAGATAGAAGACAGCATAACTTTTCAAAGGCCTTTTGTTAAAACCTTGTCTTTTAGTTAAAAGGTTATTTGAAATAATTTTTGCCTCTCCTGGATATATTAACTTCTGCCAGCTGGTAAATCTTTTCTCTAAAAACATACCAATATCTTTGTTCTTAAGAATATTAGGAAGAAAAAAATGAGTTTGCATCACTTCTCTTGAAAAGAACTTAATAGCCAGGAAATCAAACTTCTCCAGTACTGACTGTCTTCATTATTCTGTCAAAGCTAATAAAGTGTATAAATGCATCAAATATACCCTCATGATATCCTTACTTTTAGAAAACTGCAGAAACAAGTACAAGCTTCACTAACAAAATAAATAAAAATTTACCCATGACTTCAGTAGCATAAGTGATTACTACCTTTGACTTTTAAAAGAAATTTCTTGTGGCTGGAAAAACATAAGCTAGAAGTATTTTAAAATGTACTTACATATCACTGGCAATGGAGGAGTTCCTGGACATGGACTTTGGAGACAGGTCATAGTCACTGTCTGACCGGTAGAGGAAAGACTCCCTACGTTGACTGTGGACAAAGTTTGCCTGAAGAATTAGCCCTGATCCAGGGCTTGTCATGGGATCCAAGGGACTTCGTCCCGATGATGTACCATTGTCTACATCGAAACTGCAAAAAGAAAGGAGGAAAACATTTATGCCATTGATATAAGAATTTTGAAAGTAATAAATACCCTGCTGACAAATTCATCACTAGGTAGTTGCTTCCTGATAACAATGGGGAAGTATAGACCTGGTCAAGTCCATTGCTAAGACAAAAACTGAGGCACACAAGAAACAAATTTTAAGATTGCTGACAACAAGAAAAAAAAGTCTGAAGGAAAAGAAATTTGCTAGAGAAAATAAAAGCACTGTTAGAGATACAGGAAGCCTCATGCTTCCCTGCATGTGGAGTATCCATGAGCTCTACATCTGAGGAAACATGGTGTTTCAGTGTTTTCTTCCTCAGGCCCCATCTCCATTCCCCCCACTCCCCACCCTGAGCTGGACCCTCATTATCCTGTCTTCCACTGTTAACACAGTTGAGGCCTCTTTTGTGATCTAGTACTCAATGCTAATATTTCATTACTACCCAAATATTTTGTCTTATCCCAATAAACAAAGTGCTGGGGTGAGACTAAGGCACGTGTGTGTGCTTGGGCATGCTTGCATGCATTACAGTTGCTATTTTATAACTAGATTGAAGAAATGAGTTCTTTGCTCACTGCCAAGCAGTGTGAATTCTGTGGCCATTCATTTCTTTGAACTAGGCAGTTCAGATTCAGCACTTCTAGCTGTGTTGTATTTGGTACTAAGAGTAGTAAACAGGCTTATCATTCCTAGGGAAAACTGCCGTCATCAGAGGCTGAGGGGTAGGGGAGAGAAAGAAAGAGAAGGAGGGAGAGGATGTTCCTCCACATAGCGTGTGACGTTTCCACAAAGGTTTTTGAAAATCAGTGTAAAGACCTTGAACTGGAGTCTGCAGTCAATTAGAAACTAGCGCAGGGTGGGCAGCGCTGGGAGGATGTGTTCGTGGCAACCTGTGTTGCTTAGCAGCCTGACGGTTGCTATTAGTTCTGTAGGGAGCCTTTTTGAAGCATGTGGCTTCATTTTCAGACTTAATGTGTTGTGGCATACAATCTCAGAGGTTACAAATATGTGGGTTAGCAAGATTATGTCTCCATCTGATGGGATGAAGCACATTTTATCTGGCTAGAAGTGGATGAGGATGACTTTTGTTTCCCTAACTAGTTGTCTCTCTGTAAAACCAAAGATCAGATTTAGTGTTACAGCATGGTAGGAAAGGTCTGCACGAGGCCTTGGCTTATAACTACCTGGGCTCGTGTACCATACTAATGGGAACTTACATCGCGTTGCTAAAGCACTGAGAAATGAGAGATGGAGAGATGACCTTTCACATGATTTAAACATGGTTAAGTGTTAGCATCACACGATGTATTTGTATCGAACCCATTTAAAGGACTAATTTTAAAAACAGTGCTCATGTGAAGGACACCCACTGGTTTTCAATTATATCTAATGACAGTGGAAGAGAAAATATTTAGAAGCTGTCAGCTGTTGGACTAGACCTCAGCCTGGCACAGGGACCACAGCAGGTACATGCTGCTCTGCACCACCTTGTTCCTTACCGTTATTTACCATTGACCTGAGGTTGCAAGTGATAGCAGTTCCAAAGTGATAGCAGTTCCAAAGTGATAGCAGTTCCAAAGTGATAGCACTTCCATGGCCTTTTTTTCCTTTGTTAAATGAACTAATCAAAGAAACACATTTTGACAGTGATACAAATTTCCTGGCAGAGAATGGGCCTTGATTTCATATTTTATTTCATTGTTACTTTGCACATATTCCTGGAACTGCAAGCTTTCTGCCACTCTCAGAGTGCATTATTTGTTTTTTATTCACCTTTAATGCTCGTTTGTAGAAAAGCAAAATGTTGGGTTACTTTCTCAAAAAAAAAAAAATTCAGATAATAGCATTAAACAAATTTCAAGAGAGCATAGCAATTTAATAGTCTTTTCACTGAGTCAGTAAATACTAACACATCCACTTCTTTCCAAATTTGATTTCTTTTGATTATGCCTGAATACTTTTTCTATGTCCTTAAGACTGGTATGACTACACAACACTATCAATCTCAAGCTAACAAGGCTTACTCCGTAAGACATCAAATGAGAGTTCTGCCACCAGCATGCTGGGTGATCTTGGACAAAGCAAAGCTCCTCTTTTCATTGAATCTTTGTGATTATTGTAAGATATGCTCACAGAAAGTATTGAAAAATATATTTTAAAGGTTAACACAGCAAATATCCTTTGCAGCTTATAGTGCCATAAGTGAATAACCACATTTCTGTTACTACAAGCATGACTACTATTATTCACTAGCAATCAACACCTTTTGAGTATGAATTCCTGAGTATTCCAGGAGCACAAAAGACTCACAATACCAATCAAGGGTTTGGAATATCTATAAGCTCATTATATCTCCATATTTCCTAACCCTTCTATTTCATTGCCTAAATAAAATATATTTTTTCTTTAAAAACCTGGAGGAACACACAGACTCCTAAACAATACACAGACTACATGCTTTGTTTTTCTGTTGAGGCTTAGAGTGCAGATCTTTCATGCAATTTTTAGGTAAAATAGAAGAGGATTGTCAGTCTCATAGCAAGAAATTTTTGAATAAGGAGTTACTAATAAACTGATTTCTTTATCAGTGGACCTAATTATTCCAGTGATTAAAAGGTGTTTTACTGGATTAAAGGAAATACAGTGTTCCTTGCAGATTTGTTTAATTTTCTTCACCCACCTTTAGTGGACATGATATGAGTATTTTATTACCAGTCTTATTTCTCATAATCAGAAACTAAGTCAGGCTTCTATGAATGATTTTGCTGTCAGATTATAAAATTTACAAGTATCTTAGGTAAAACTACAGTTTTATCTTCTGGGAGAGGACCTGCGGTTTGCACCACCAGGTTAACTACAAGCATCTGCAAGAAGACTTGCACATTGGTGTTGTGACATTGACTCTGCGATACTGTGTTGCATCCACTAGATGGGTGTCAAAAGTAACGAACGGAATCCAAATATGTCAGCTAGCGTGTGGCTCGTGCTACGTAACGAAAAGAGTTTTTTGTGTAAATATGCATCAACACAAAAAAGTTCAGTTCTAGGATCAAAGGGGAGTGTGAATACAACACTGGTTTCCCAGAAACATGCTTATATTAAAAAGTTTCCAAAATGCTACAGCAGTTAAGTGTCTTGTTTGGCTCTTACTGAGACATTAGCTAACATTTCCAAATATAAAACCCTGTCAAAATCCATATGAAAAATATGTTATTACACTGAAAATCAAATAAATTGATTCTTTGGCTGTCACAAGTTCTATCTGCAAGAAGTGGTTCTGCTGATCATACTGCATCTGATGAACAGAAAATCAGAATGGTGGAATTGAAGACTTTGCTGTTCTTTCTTGCCGCATACACTGAAAAAAAAAAGATTCAAAAGTTTGAGATATAACTAGGATAGACTCTTTAATTTGCCTGAGCAGAAATTGCAAGAAAGTCAGCTGTGGTTGCTTCATATTTATCTTTCCACCCCTGTTAAGTTTTAAGCCACAGCAAGAATATGCTGTGAATTAAAAAGTGCACACATCACTGAATTTTCTGTGTTCAAAGAGCTTTGCTGCAACTCCAGAGCTGCCAAAGCTGTGAAAAGCCTGTGCTAACTCAGCAACTTTTGTGCCTGCAATTTGACAAAATATTTTATGACATTAGTGGATGTTGTTTATCCTTAGAGCCTGCCTTATTCAGTGTTCAATGATGACAAATGTGACATGAGATGAAAGTTCAGCCTTTTTTCCTTTTTTGGCTATTCATAGTGTTTGAATGTCTTGCCCACTGTGTATTATCCAGGCTCTGTACTGAGATTCATGGCTGATCTCCTCTGCACTCCTCAAAAAACCCTAAACTTGCAGCATCACCAGCAACCTTTAGGAAGCTTATTAATTTTTTGCTTCAGGCAATAGCAAAAATCTGTGGCAAGGACAGGAGTGGTTCTGGATCCTGGATCTCAGCAATGCTGCTTCATTGTTAGTGAGTCCACAGTTTCTTTATATGGTGAAAGAAACCCTCCGTGGACTTCTTTTGAGCCCTTAAATAGTATCTTCCTACTCTTTGCAAGGCTGCTAACAGAACAAAGGGGAAGATCTGTATATAAAACAGAGATTTTAGTTACATAAAGAGTAATGGTATCATAATGAATATGCACAAGAGCTTGTAATTAAGGCTGCATAGAAAATCTTGATGTTGGTCTTCCTTGCCACTGACAGTTTAGCAATTTAATCCTGTATCTTTTTGTTGGGCAATTTTGTTTTGTTTTATGATTTTGTTTGTTTGGGGGGGTTTTGTTGTTGTTTGTGTTTGTTTGGGGTTTTGAGTTTTGCGTGCTTTTTTGTTTGTTTGGTTTGGTTTTTAGGGAAGTAAGCAATAGTAGAAGAGGGAAGGAAACAAATTCCTCCCCAAACGGAAGAATTTACTAGACCTTTTACGAATGCAAATTACACTCCTGATATCTCCCTTTAAGTCTCTCTCTACCTTCAGCCTATCTTATCTTGGAAACTATGGGGAGGGAGAGAGGCAGGAGTCAAATTAATTGATCCTCTAGGGATACCTTATCTTTTTAAGGCGATGTTTAAACATTACAGAAGGACTAGTGAGTTCTGCAAGAAAAGATTTTGTCCCTCATCATAGGAACTCACTGTCCTACAGTCAAGCACTCTTTCTAGCCATTCACCTACCTACACATCTCAACATCACTACTTCCCAGAAGTCCCATTGTCTTTTTTCACCTGGAAGCACAATCATACCATCACATCAAATGGATGCATGTGGCATAGCAGCTGTAATTCACTGAAATAATGATGAAAGGACTGCTCTGTCACAGCTGCCTTTGGGCAGGGTCTTAATTAGAGCAAAAACAAAGTAATAAAACTTTATTTCCATTTCCAACGAAAAAGTGAGCTGCTTATCACTTGAGCTATTTATCACAGACAATTTCAATTATTGCAGAAATCATGCCCATTGTGACCCAATTCTTAAAAAAAAA